GTTTCTGGCATAATGACAACATCACTTGTGTAAAGCATTAGGAAAAGCAAATATTAATATTACTATGCCAAAATGTAGTGAGCTTTATTACATTAGATTCATTGAACACAGGCAGAGGTAATTTGCATTGTTTTTTTTTTCTTTTTATTGCATCATATTTTTTTTCTTCTAGATCATAAATAAGCCAAAAAATAAGGTCATTAAAATCTTTTTGTAAAATTCAGCAAGTGTGGCAGGTTCTCTAATGTTTCTTTATTTTCTATGAGTTGGGTATGTGATTTCCATACAGATGTTGCTAAAGATTTACTAAATTTTATATATGATTCCATTTGTAATTAATTTGATTGTAAATTTTCATTTATAGATATTTTATTTGCTCTAAATACTACACTTAAAAGAAATAAAGTTGGTCTAGGAACTATTAAATTATTAGAAGATATGGAGGATTCTTCTACTATGGATTCTGTTGATGTGAAATCTTGTACTATAGATTTGGTAGAAACTTCTGTATTAAAATTTTTAAAAACTTGTATTAAAAGATTTAATAATATATTTTTTGCATTTATATCATCTGAAGAAGCAACATTGTTGATCCATCTAAAAAAAAAAAATCAAAGATGGAGATGATTCTTTATCATGTATACATGGTTTTGTTCCTGTTCTTATATGTAGATGCCCTCCATTTGTTATCCAATAATTTGTACAATATATCTTACACATTGAGGAATATTTCCTTCCATTGTTGTTACTTTATCATATTCTTCTTGATTATCTTCATAATCTTCATTTATTTCACTCATAGACAGGTTTTCTTTTATATTATCATCAAATAATAGCATCATTCATTGATTGTTGGAATAAATATTCATCAAATTCTAATATAGAATCAATCTGGTCATTGATTTCTACTAATATTGGCAATGAGTTAGATCAATCTGGTCATTGTTTTCTATTAATATTGCCAATAAGTTTGAATCAAAGAATTCATTTAAAAAAGTAAATTCAGAATTTGTTTATAAATTTATTAGTTTAATGTTTTCTTTAATTAAATGGAATATTAAATCTTATAATACAATTGATTTAAACATCTTATATTTATAATAACTTTATCAGCATTAATTCTTTATATCAAAATGAAATCTTTCTTTTGTGCCAAAAACAAAACTTTTCTTTGTACCAAAAACAAAATCTTCCTTTGTACCAAGAATGAAACCTTTCTTTATATCAAAAAAAAATACAATGGTATATTAATAAATTTAAAGTTGGAACTATATATATAATATTGAATGATTTTTACATTACTTTATAAGCTTTCTCTAGCTAAATTCTATTCTTAATATGTAATAATATAATAAATTCTAGTAGAAAGCATACCTAAGTGACTGGGTTCTGTAATTAC